TTTAAATATGAAAAAAAAAGACAATTAATTTACTATAAAAAAGACAATTAACTTAAAATAAACTCAAAATTAAAAAATATATATTTTGGGACTAATAAAATATAAATTAATAACAAAAATATTTAATAAATGCAGTTTTAAAACACGTGTGAAGATTCCAACAACCTAGATAACTCAATTGTTATTTTTTTTTTTATTAAAAGTAAGAGATTCTGAATTTGAGTCGTATGACATCCGAGTGGGATAAAATAAAAGATAAAAAATAATTATTTTTTATTGTATAATTAAGATAAAAAAAAAAAAAAAAAAAAAAAAAAGAAGAAGAAGAAGAGAACACATGTGTTAAGACATGTTCGAAAATTACAAAAACAAAAATGGGAAAAGGGGACATCAATAATCACGGAATAAAAGTTCATGGTAGCACATTAATTCAGATCAGAAGATGAGAATCCAACGGTCCAGATGTTTTCTTATTGCGTCCTTATATAGCTTCGCCCACACAAGATACCTACTTTTGGCGCAAAAACTGATTCACCGACTTACCGAGATTTCCCGGGAAGGAAAGGAGAGCAAAAAAAAAAAGAGTAAAAATAAATAAATAAAATCTTAAACTTAACAGCCATTCTCAACTCAGGAAATCGCCGATCTCAAACGGTCACCTGTTCCTCCCTCTCCGATTCCATTCTCCTCCTCTAGGTTAGGGTTTCCTCTCTCTTTCTCAGTTGAATTGGTCGTCCATGGACGATCCCACGGTGAGCAGTCATCGACAACAGCTGCAATCAGCTTCGGGGACTCCACAACTGAATCTCTTTCCGAGAATGTCAGAGTCTTCTCTTCATCTCGAGAATCTACCGTCATCCCGTAGCAGTCATGTAAACCGTATGATCAACTCCGGCTACAGTCCGTCACCGTCGCGAACTATCTACTCTGATAGGTTTATCCCCAGTAGATCCGGTTCCAATTTTGCGCTTTTTGATATCTCTAATTCTCCCGCGTCGTCGGAGGGGAAAGAGGATGGGTCTGGAACTTATAAGAGTCTGTTGCGCGCCGCACTTTTCGGTCCAGACACTCCCCAGAAGAAGGACACTTTGAGCATGCCGCCGTCTCGGAATATTTTCCGGTACAAGACCGAGACTAGGAAGTCACTGCACTCGATTTCACCTTTTGGGTTTGATGAGGGGGTGCCTGGGGTTAGCCACACTCCGGTCAAGGCTCCGAGGAAGGTGCCTAGGTCGCCTTACAAGGTGGGGCTTTTATCAGGCTTTTGTTGTTGCCATTGGATATGTTGGTTACATCTTAAATTTTTCTCCTTCTTTTTTTTTTTTTTTTCTCAACTTACTTTTTATGGTGATATAGGTTTTGGACGCACCTGCATTGCAAGATGATTTTTATTTGAATCTGGTGGATTGGTCTTCGTCTAATGTGCTGGCTGTGGGGTTGGAGAATTGTGTTTATTTGTGGAATGCCTGTAGCAGCAAGGTAAAGTTTTTAATTTTAGTCCGTTTATTTTTCCTTCTCTTTGAATATGCTTGTTCTCTCTAATAATGAGGGTATGCCACTCGCAGGTAACAAAGTTGTGTGATTTGGGAGTTGATGACAGTGTTTGTTCAGTGGGTTGGGCTCACCGTGGAACAAATCTTGCAGTTGGGACTAACAATGGAAAAGTTCAGGTTAGAGATTTGGGCTAATGTTGCAAGTTTATTGAAGTGTGTTTGTTTTATCTGTCTCTCCATGTACTATTTACTGGTGTTCTCGGTATGATAAATCTGTATTTAGATGGAATATGTGTTTAGTGATCATGCGTAGGAACCTTCAGGCTTCTAGATTCTAAGGACTAAGGATGCCTCTTTACAGGTAGGACTGAGTAATTTGTCATCGCTCAAAATAAAATTGCCTGACTGATATTTTTAATTCATGAATTAATTGAAAGAAAAAGAAGGACACCGTCTGGGTTCTTAATATCAAAATACTAGGGCGATATGGCAAAATTGGCAGGCACTTTCAATGCTTTAAACTTCACTGGATTGAATGTTTTTGTAGATACCTCCCAAATTATATGTTTAAAAATCAGGAAATTTTTTATGTGACTCTCATATAACATAAATGTAATTTTTAATTGCTTGCTTGTTACTTCAAACTTGTTACCTTTAGGATGAATGCATGCAAGTGCTAGGAACTGTTGTTTCAGCTAGATCCTGACAGCTGTCTTCTTCTTGATTGATTAAGTTTGTATGTTGTTGCTGGAGATCCTCATCCTTCACCCTTTACAATTATTAGATTTTAGCATGATACTTGTGGAGTTGCAATACCATGCCATTCAGTGGTTAGCTAATGAAGCTATTTGCATCATTTATAGATTTGGGATGCATCTTGCTGTAAGAGGCTAAGAACAATGGAAGGCCATCGTTTTCGTGTTGGGGCCTTAGCTTGGAGTTCTTCCTTTTTGTCTAGTGGTAGCCGTGACAAAAGTATTCTGCAAAGAGATATTCGTGCTCCAGAAGATTTTGCTAGTAAACTCTCAGGACACAAGTCAGAGGTCAGACTTCTACATCTTCTTCAGCTTGATTGAACTTACTTTTCTTAAGGATTTCTTTGTAATTGAATTTATATTCCTGTTTTGAACTAATTGCTGAATGGATAACTTATGTTGGTTTGATGTAGGTTTGTGGCCTGAAATGGTCTTATGATAACCGTGAACTAGCATCGGGTGGAAACGATAATAGAGTAAGTGATTGCAATATTTTCTAACTTATTCTCATGCTCAGTGTACATTCATTGTCTCTGTTTGACGACTGATTCTGTTTCTCATTCATATGCAGCTTTTTGTTTGGAATCAGCATTCTACTCAACCTGTCTTGAAATATTACGAGCATACAGCAGCAGTAAAGGCAATTGCATGGTCTCCCCATCTTCATGGACTTCTTGCATCTGGAGGCGGCACAGCAGACTGTTGTATTCGATTCTGGAATACAACCACTAATACGCACTTGAGTTGCATGGACACTGGCAGTCAGGTAATCTTGTCGTCCTATGTTGTGATCGTATATGTTCGACATGGCTAATTTATTCGTTAAGTGGAATTCTCGTGGATAAATCTGTCTTGCATTGACCCTCAAGAGGTTCATTCATCACTCCATAAAATGAGTTCTCAAAATCTGTCTCTATGTTGTCTACATAATGTTAATAGAGTGTTAGTAGGTCTTCTTAACAATCTGTTAAGCAACTCAATCATAATCACATGGGAAGATGGATTTTGGATTTGCACATTAAAAGCACTGACAGGTTTGATGTTTAAAGAAATATCAGGGCCATTAGAGAATTGCCATTCTTTATGCTTGTGTGCTTGCCTTTATTTACTGGGGTTGCAAATGCTACAAACGTTCTAATAACCCCTCATTATGTTGCAGGTATGTAATCTTGTGTGGTCTAAGAACATCAACGAACTTGTCAGCACTCATGGATACTCCCAAAACCAGATAATAGTCTGGAGATATCCTACCATGTCAAAGGTAAAAAATTAACATAAAATCAGCTTGCCTTGCTTATAGTTATAAAGCATAGTTATGTGCCAAGAATCTATTTGGTGGTTTTTAACCCAAATTTCCTCTGCTAATGCAGTTGGCAACTCTAACGGGCCATACATACAGAGTTCTTTATCTTGCAATTTCACCGGATGGACAGGTACTCTTATCTTTCTGCACTGCAATTTAGTAAGATATAGATCAATGAGAGCTAGCTTATGCATTCATTCAGTTTGTGAACGTTCTTTACATGGCAGTAACAACAACTTGTTCTTGCAGACAATTGTCACTGGAGCCGGGGATGAAACACTAAGGTTTTGGAACGTGTTCCCTTCCCCTAAATCTAAGGTAATAGCCATTATTGATTGCCTTGTCTTTAGAATCATTTTCTGTGTCGGCCAACATTTCTTCTCCATTTTTTGGGGTATGCTGAGGTTTTTTAAACATGAAAATGCAGAACACCAACAGCGAGATCGGAGCATCATCTTTTGGAAGAACAATCATTCGGTGATCTTTATCTGGTCCTACCTTCATTTTGAAGCATGGGTGCAACATAGTTCAGAGCATTCTCGTGCTCAATCGACCCACAGACACTGAGAAATTCATTTCAAGAGCAGAACTCATCTCCAAGTTCTTGCATCTCGGGGGGGTTATCAACTGTATAACACCTGTTCGTAACAGCTCCCTTAAGTTGTATATTTAGGATGGGGGATGCGGACTGGACGAGAACTTCGAGCACCTTTTTTTTTTCTTTTTTCTTTTTTTTTTTTTTTTTCTCATTTATTGTAAATATAAACTCTTCTTTTCCCACTTCAAATTCTCTATTGTAATTTTAAAACAAATTCTCCATTGCCTCTAGTTGTGTGTTTTATAAAGAATAAAACAGGGAGAACTTCCCCTTCCCAGCTTCCCTGTTATCCCTCTGTGAGGCATACATTTGAACACAGAAGCAGAAGTTGAGTGAGATTCAGACAAATTTGAATTTGTGATCAAGCTGACAATGACAACAACTAGAGTCACATCATGGATGT